TTTTGTAAACCGACATTATATTTATGCTTTTATAATTTAATTTCAAGGAAATAAAAGCTTATTAATATTTTTAGATTAATTTTGTTGTTCAAAATTTAAACATTTATACTTTTATTATAAAATAAAATAGATGGAATAGATAGATAGAGAGAATAGATCAACGTGGCCGGATTATTAGTGTCCAAAAAGATATCAAACGTTTGAGTCTGAAGAAAAGTTTTAATGGCATTAGTTGTGGGAAACCGCAATTTACACTTATTTCATTGAAAATCTTAGGCAAAAGCCTTATATAAACAAACATTTAAGCCATGACTTTGGAATTGAATTTCTACACCATATAGGATTTATATTCGAAAGTGCAGTAAAACGGGATTTTTCAGTCTCCTTGTAATATACGGATAGTTTAGCCCGTCGTCATATGTGTAGTTTAAATGGAAAAAGATTTCTAGCCTCATATAATTTACAATTATATCCTTAAATTATATAAATAACTAAGGTTATAAAAGTCGATCAATATTTCAAGGTTATTTTGGTCGTTTAATATTTAGCATAAATTATTCGTGCTTTTATAATAATATAGATATGGATAGATAGATATAAATAGATAAGACAATTATTTAATAAAGTGATCTAACAAAACTTAACCAATTACTCCGTTAATTCTATTTTATGTGATATTATTTTTTAATTAGTTTGATCTAAAATGTTATATTTTTATATTTAAATACAATATACCTGTAAAACATATAGCCACATAAGCCTTGTGACACATTTAAGATCCCAAATTATAATATGTTCATTTTTCCCCATAAACTTGTAATCAAGCTCAACAAAATCAAATAATAATACTTTTCATTTTTTTTTTCCAACCGAAACAATCTAAATAAGCCGTGAATCTTTAATTTCTTACAACAAATATCTCATCATTCAGTTTTAATTATGTGCTCATAATTTATTGGAAGAAGAAGAGGAGGAAAGGGAAAAGGAGAAGAAGTTTAACGAGTGTCTATATTTACTAGCTGCCTCCCTAAGCGATTAAATCAAAAATATTAGGCGGATATACAATATATATAATATGTGTATAATTAGTGTATATTTTTTATATATCGGCGAAGAAAGTAAACAGTCGGCTATTTATGTAAAAATCACTTTGTTTGACTTGCAACTTGAGCTGTAAAATTGCACGGGGCGCCCTATTTGGTCGCCCCCATTTAACGTGTACCCATTTTTTATTTATTTTTTAATTAATATCCAAAGTTTAAACAATTTCAGGCCCTTTTCTCCTCTTTCTTCTTCTTCTTCTTCTTCTTCTTCTTCTTCTTCTTCTTCGGATGACAACGATTTTATATGGTGTTTGTAACATATTTTAAGGTAGTTTATGATGTTTTACAGTGGTGAGCTGTTGTGACGCTTTCTTTTTTACTATTACTTAAGGTTTTTTCTTCTTCTTTTTCTTAATTTGCAAAATGGGTTCGTTAGATTTATTGTTGTTTTGACAAATTGATGATTGGAGTTTGTTCTTGATGATATTTGGAGGTATGTTTCAAATTTGAGCTTATTTGGAGTAGATTTAGGTGTTAAGTTGTATATTGAATTGTTAAAATTCGAACAACAAATTTATGTTTCTAGACAGTTTGCACTTCATGCCTATTTGGCCTTAAGTGCATGACAACGTTGGTTGCACTTCAGACCTATTTGGCCTTGAGTGCATCTGAAGTGCACGTTTTTCACTTCAGACTTATTGGCCTTAAGTAATGAAATCGTTGATTGCACTTAAGACCTATTTGGCCTTAAGTGGATCCGAAGTACAATTTTTTTCACTTCACACTTATTGGCCTTAATTGCATGAAACCATGGTTGCACTTCAAACCTATTTGGCCTTAAGTGCATCTGAAATGCAATTTTTTCACTTTAGACCTCTCCGACCTTAAGTGCATGAAAATATTTATTGCACTTTAGACCTATTTGACCTTAAGTGCATCTTAGTGCAATTTTTGTACTTTAGACTTAATTGACCTTAAGTGCATTGCACTTCAGACAATTTCTTTTTAAACTTCAGACCTGATAAGTCTGAAGTTGATCGTAAAGTGGATAGACTTGCAATTTTTTTTGTAAAGTGACTATATCTTCAATTGTAACTCCAAAACCGGGTATAGATGCAAGAACCCTCTTGAGCTCCATATAATTTGTTCATGGGCCAATATTAATGGGCCACTTGAACCAACTTGGTCCTCACGACCCATATCCGTCTGTCGGCAACCTTTTGTTTTTGTTAGTTGTTACTCATTTAAATAAATTTCTTAATTCCAAGTACTTTTGGAGCTGTAAAAGAAAGAGAGAGAAGTAAAAAAGAAAAAGAACCTGTAAAACACCATCATAAAGCAAGACTAATATTCTTTCCACTAATATATATAGTATATCGAAATTTATANAAATCAATGCATATAAGTAAAATTAATTTTTAATTACCTGAAACAAATCTCCAATGTTGATGATAAGTGCTTGAGGATTGGGCTTAACAGAGATCCATTTTCCATCTCTTATTAACTGCAACCCTCCAATATCATCTTGGTGCAATATTGTGAGGAAGTCACTATCAGTGTGTGGCATTAATCCAAAGACTTGTGGGGAAAGAGGGCATGCTGGATATCTATTCATCCGAAGGTAACAAGTATTTGGCAAACATGTTTCTCTGAAATATTTCGACTTATATCCCATTTTCTCCGACAATATTCTTGCTAATTTATGTGCTAATTCAGACAATGTTGTTGCAAACTGTTCCATTGTGGTGCTGAGTTCATCAAAGGAGAAAAAAAGTAAAGCTTAGAATCCAAGGCATTGATTTATCAATATCAAGCAGACAGTCATCAGTGGTGTAATTATATACATGCACTGATGATGTAATGATTTTTATGTTGTTTTGTAGCTTAAACCTATTATAATATATTAATTATCATTTTTATCAAGTTACTGGCTAATACCTAAAATAGAGATTACATGTAATTACTTGATAAGTACTGACATGATAATATAACTATTTTTATACCGTTAATACAATATATAACTTCAACTTATAATAATGGTTATATGTAGATTACTTTTGGATGATAGTGTAATTTTCTTTTAAAATTGTCGGTCTATATAAGTTAATCTTGATCATGCACAGCTTCATACCCACATCCAAATGTAAGAAGCTGTCTCAGGTTTTGGGACCAGAAATATATGCACTTTGGGAGGTATATATGTCTCACCGTATTTAGAATCTTTTGAGTCAGACAAAATTCACAGAGGACTTATTGTCTTTTTACTCTTTGATTTGATGAATTAGCTTTTTTATAACCTGGAATATAATGAGGTGAATATATTAATCTCTTATCAAGCATTGAATTAATAAGCAGGCATAGAGAATATTGAAGAGCCATGTTTTATAGAAGTATTTCAACCATTTAATAAAAACAGGCTTAGAAACCTGCTTCTATATATAAATCAAGAAAAAACTCAGTATGTGTGTCAAACGGCACTCGTGAGTACTAATTGGTTATACGGACCTAAATTACAATAATGTATATATGTTCTCTAATTTAAGTTGCTAATGCTAATTAAAGTGGTATTCAAATCGATACTTCGAAGATTATAGTTTACACAAATATGATGTATGTTCCCTAATTTAAGTTTCTTATGCTAATTAAAGTGGTACGTAAATCAGTTCTTCGAAGACCATAATTAATGCTTATTTCTGGACAAAAAGAAAAATCCAAAAGGAAAAGCAACTTCGATTCGATCTAAGTAATTACCACAAAGCAACTTAATTAGTCACTACACAAGACAAATATTAGGAAATGAAAATAAATCTAGTCCAAAAAACTCCTAGAAATGAAAATTTGAATTATTCCACGAACAATGTCTAAGGTAGTAATTCTTAAGCTGCAAATTCGTGTTTGACCACTGAAAAATGTTGTTATGGTCGTCTGTATATTAATATCTAAGCTCATTTTTTTATGTCCGATGCACCTGTGTATGAACTTCCAGCATATTATGCTGGAACTCTAACACGTGGAAAATTCCAGCATAATATACTAGAGACTGAAGCATCTGTGTATGAACTTCCATCATATTATGCTGGACCGATATATTATACTGGAACTCCATTATAATATGCTGGAGTTCTAGTATACTTATGCTGGAACACCAGTATATTATGCTGGAGTATTTTCCGGATTTTAAACAGTGTTTTCGTTCAGATTTATATTTTGTCGTGGCTAAATTTCGATTACTTTTAAAATTATGACTATTTTTGAATGACCACTTGTAAATCTGGCTATTTTTGAACTTCTCCCATTATTTTCCGGTCGAATGGACTTTGAACAACCTTAAATTTGAATGAGCCATTGGTCTCTCTCTCCTTAAAACTGACCTAATTTATTCGTGCTATTTATATATCATGCCCTTTTACAATGTCCGGTTTAAGAAAATGATTTTTTTAGATCTTTTATGTGTAAAAGGTAAATCTCTCACTATAACATTTTAGGCCTACAACCACACTAATTTAGGCAATGCTCAAAAAGTGTTGCCAAAAGTATATGTAGGAACACTTTTTAGGCGTGACCTTTGAGTAGAGTTTTTGGCCACGAATTTTAAGGTAACACTTATAAAGCGTTCCGTTTAATTGTAAAGACAACATTTTCTAAGTGTTACCTAAATATAAATATTTTGGCCATGCTTTTAAATTATATTGGAACACTTTTGGACGGTTGCTATATTATCATACTAAATACCACCCTTTACAAGCGTACCCTAAAAATTCCTTATAAAAAATTCCCAAAAATTTCCTACCAAAATTACGCTTCATATTCCGCCAATTCTCATAAGTCCAAGATCGAATAGTACTTGGAAAACCCTATAGGAATACATAGCAAAAATAGTACTTGGAAAACCCTACAGGAATAAGTAGCAAATCAGTTTAAACGCCACCACTGCTCCAACCCCTCAATTGCTGCTTCTATTTCTACGTTTGCTTCATCCTTGGTTGCTGCTCTTCTATTGCTTTTAGAATTGTAAGTTCTCAAGCTTTTAGAAATAGTTATATTATACCAATCTCTGTTTTCTTTAATTTTCTAATTCCAAGAAAGAAAGAACTGAACAAGCCTCTACAAAATTAATTTAGATAAAACCCATCTCATGAAAAAGTCTCTAATTTTTATTTATTTTTTTAAATTCCACTAGGCAAAGTGCTTTTGATCCCATTGGGTAAGAGTAATACATATTTCCTATAACCAAATTTGAGTTAGTGATACTCAAACTTAGTCGTACAATTTGATCTAACCAAGTAGTATACGTCGAATGTATTTATGTAGTGATTGTCATGTATCTGAGTTGGTTCCATGCTTTTGTTATTTTTGTTGAGATTCCATCTTCCTGAATGTACTCAATTAGCTTGGTGATAGAGCCTCTGTTGCCAAAAATAGAGTACAAACAGTTGGCGTCGCACACAAAATTCAGTGTCCTGGCCTGTTGTTTGCTCCTGTAGCCGATTGGATTCCCTTTAAGTTGACAAACCATTGTATGAATCGAATTCTTATTATGTTGAAGTAGTTGGATGTATTTGGATTTCCTTGCTAATAGCATTCACTACTTTTATTAGTTGTCTTCAAACTATAGTACCTTGCCAAATTCCCATCTTAAAGTTTTGGTATTCCAAAAAACATTTCTGTTCCAGAACTTTTGGTTACCCGTCATGTACATGTAATTGCCTATTTGTTTCACTGTACCCGTGATGACCTCTATATCTGGACATAAACACCGATGAGGGCTGCACAGTCTCGATGTCCATGTTGTAAGTTTGGACTTTCATCCTTCTTGTATTGACAGTGATGTATGGATGACTCCAGTTTTTCTCGCATTGCCGTAACCTCCTCCATGATGTTCTTTCCCATTCTTGTTAATGGTCTTTCTCCATTGTAATGAAAACTTGGGTGTATAACCAACCATTGATACAGGAAGTGTATACTGCATAATAGTAGATAATTTGCATTTTATAGAAGTTTTCTTATTGAGTTTTAGAGATAATGATTATTAACTCAAGTTGGTTCTCTTGTTTGAGATTTTTTTGAAGACGTTAACAAGAATATTGGCAAAAAGGAATTTGACACTACTATTTGATCACTTCCTAAAATATGAATATTGCTAAATAGGAATTTGATACTAGTGTTTTCTCACTTTCTGTTTTTCTTTTGATTTCATTGTTCTTATTCTTTCATGAATTTTTGTGATCTTGATTCTCAAAGAAGTCAATTTAACATGTGAGCTTTGGACTAATAAGTATTTATTCAATTGAGTAATATCCTATATCCCTACCAAAAGAATATCTTGTTGATTTATCTTCTTGTTGTGTGGATCCTATTAATTTTACTTTTTTTCTCCAAGAACAAAAGTCAACGCTCAGGAAGATATATATTTGAAGTTGGGTTTGGCTTAACATAAGTGTCATGACTAGGTAAGATATTCTTATCATCTTTCATTATATATGATTTTGAAAACTTACTCAGAGGATTTATTTGTAATGTATATATAATACTTAAATGATTATATATTTGATGATTTGATATTAATATCTGATTTTTAGGGTTTCAAATGTTCCATCCAAGTATTGGATGGATTTACCAAGGTATAGCAAAGAGTATATTGATGGGGTACAATCTTTGTAAGAATTTGCTTACCTTTATGGAGATTTTCAAGGCGAGGAAATTTAATGCCCATGTGCAAAGTGTTGCAATATTCGTTGGACTCAAAGGAATGTAATATATGATCATCTAATATGCTATGGATTTGTTCAAGGTTATACAAGATGGATTAATCACGGAAAATAGGAAATCCCTATGAATGTTGACGGTGACATGAGTGATGAAACTAACTCGTATGATGATATTAATGGGTTATTGAATGATCAATTTAGAGATATTGCACAAGCTGAAGGACTTTATGAAGGTCCAAATGAAGATGCCAATAAATTCTATAACTTAGTTGATAAGGCAAGCCAAGAACTATATCCTGGTTGTAAAGGATTCTCTAGATTATCATTCATAATTCGTCTATATTTGTTGAAGTGTCTACATGGATGGAGCAATGCGTCATTCACTTCTCTTTTAGAGTTGTTGAAAGAGGAGATTCCCGAGTTGAACATTCCTTTATCCTACAATAATGCCAAGTCTATGGTTAAGGATCTCGGTCTTGATTATGAAAAAATCGATGCATGTCCCAATGATTGCATGCTATTTAGGAATGAACATAAGGCTGATGAATATTGTCATGTTTGTGGAGCTTCCAGATATATTAAATATCCTGAAGCAGATAGCGAGGTTGAGTGTTCTAAAAAAGCTCATCGCGTTTCAGCAAAAACTTTGAGACACTTTCCATTAATTCCTAGACTCAAAAGGCTATTCATGTGCTCAAAGACAGCGAATACATTAAGGTGGCATGACGAGGAGCATTCTAAAGATGGAAAGTTAAGGCATCTTGCTGATGCCCAAGCATGGAAAGACTTTGATAGCTTTCATCCGGATTTTGCAAGAGATTCTCACAATTTGAGACTTGGCTTGGCAAGTGATGGGTTCAATCCATTTCGAATCATGAGCATATCTCACAGCACATGGCCAATTATCTTAATGGTGTATTATTTGCCTCCTTGGATGTGCATGAAGCCAGAATATTGTATGCTTTCTTTGCTTATACCTGGGTCGCGGTCACCTGGAAATGACATGGACATTTATTTACAACCATTAATAGAAGAGTTAAACGTGTTGTGGGAGTCTGGGGTTGAAATATATGATGCTTCAAGAAATCAAACCTTTCAAATGCGAGCAACTCTTTTGTGGACAATCAGTGACTTCCCTGCATATGCTATGTTATCTGGTTGGAGTACAAAAGGGAAGTTGGCTTGCCCTTGTTGTAATTATGGCACTAATTCTCGCTATCTTAAACATAGTCAAAAAATGTGTTATATGGATCATCGTGTTTTTCTACCAATGGATCATCCATGGAGATCCAACAAAAGGTCTTTCAATGGGAAAACAGAATTTAGGCCTCCTCCACCTTTGTTAAAGGGAACTGATGTGCTTAATGACTTAGAAAATATTAATAATGTCTTTGGGAAAAAGAGGAAGAGAACAAATGATGGCCCATGGAAGAAAAAGTCAATTTTTTTGAATTACCTATTGGCAACACAATTCATTACATCATAATCTTGATGAAATGCACATAGAGAAAAATATAGTTGATAACGTAATTGGAACTCTTTTGGATATTCCTGTCAAGCGAAAAGATCATGTAAATGCTCATTATGATCTAAAATAGATGGGCATTAGAAAGAACCTTTAACCAAAAGATACAAAGGATGGCAAGAGAACAGAGTATGCAAAAGCGTGTTTGTCAATGGCTAATGGAGAGAAATTAATTTTTTGTGGTGTTCTAAAGACAGCAAAGCTACCTGATGGTAGTGCTTCCAATATATCTAGGTGTGTGCAACTAGACGAAAGAAAATTATCTGGTTATAAGGCGCATGATGCCCATTTCATGTTACATTACTTGTTGCCAATACCAATTAAAGGCATCCTTCCTGATCATGTTGCTATTCCTTTGATTCGTCTAAGCTCCTTCTTTCGCCGTTTATGTCAAAAAGTTATCACACTGGAAGATCTAGATTGTTTGGAGATAGAGATTAGAGAAACATTGAATCAATTGGAGCGAATTTTTCCTCCAACTTTTTTTTGATATAATGATTCATTTGCCTATTCATTTGGCAAACGAAGTAAGATTAGGAGGTTCCATTCAGAATCGTTGGATGTATCCTCCTGAAAGATATATGTGCACATTAAAATCATATGTTCGCAACAAAAATCATCCAGAAGAATCTATTGCTGAAGCATACTTGGTTGAAGAGTATTTGTCTTTGTGCTCTAGATACTTACATGGGGGTGTGCAAACCAGATTTAATAGAAGACCCCGAAATAATGATGAATGTGGTTATGATACACAAACTTTCAGTTTGTTCCCTAAGAGAGGCTGCCCATTAGGAGCCAAAAAGAGTGATCCAATTATTTTAGATGGCAAGTCACTATGTCAGGCACATGCATACGTATTGAACAATTGTGATGAAGTTCAAGAATATATCAGGTAATTTTGTTCACTTGTAGTATTTTCTTTTACGTAGATAATTCTAAAATTATTTTATTTATCTTTTTCTAACAAATAAAAATTATTGTTCTGTAGAGAACATGAGGTGGAGGTTAATAATCAGAGGCGAGGATCTAGATGGAGCAAGGCCAAAAATCATAGTCAAAACTTCTCTCAATGGTTTGAAACTCGTGTATTGCATAAGGATATGTTCGATCTGATAAAACATTTATCCATAGGACCAAATTCAATTGCCAAAAGATATTCTGGGTATCTCATTAATGGATATAGATTCCATACGAGGCAGCGTGATGCAAAGCGTAAAACGCAAAATAGTGGTGTTACATTAGATGCCCTAACGACAAGCTTTGCAAGGTCAAAGGATAAAAATCCAGTTGATGCGAATTTGACTTATTATGGCAGAATAATTGATATAATTGAGTTAGACTACTATGGGCATTTAATTTGTAGCGTGCAACCAAAGAGAACAATGAGGAACCATCAAAGTCCGAAATATTTATTGCAACTCGTATAAAGAAAGGAAAAGAAGTTCATACAAATACTCAAGTTGCAATAGTAAGTCATGATAAAAGTTAAGATCTTGTTATTATATAGCCCCTCTCGTTAACTAAATGTGTGTCTGTTAAAGTTTCAGCTTTTTAATTAAAACCATGTATTTCTAATAAATGCAGTTTTGTATATGTGTCTGGTGCTTATATCTTGTACTAATTGAATGACAAATTAGTGAAATTGTAGTTTCATTAGGACATAACTCCATCTTGTATTACTTTTTCGTGTTAGCTTACTTGCAAGTGATATGTGTAAGGTTATTGAGAATTCCCTTTCAAAAACTTTAGCTGCATACTGTCCTTTTGCTGGAACATTAAGAGATAATGTTCATGTCGAATGCAACGATATAGGTGTTGATTTTTTTAAGGCTTGATTGGATTGTCCCATGTCTGAAATTGTTAAAAGTCCTGATAGAAATGTCAAAGAAATGGTATATCCTAAGGGTATACCATGGAATGTTGTTACATCTAATAGAAAATTGGTCACGGTTCAGTTTAACCAATTTGATTGTGGAGGAATAGCTCTAAGTACATGTGTTTCACACAACATTGGAGATATGTGCACAATGTATAATTTTTTACAAGACTGGGCTGCAATTGGACGTAATCCAAATTTAACAGCTTCCAGTGCAGCATTCATTTACAACAACCCCTGAAAATATTTCATGTATTTTGTAGGAAAAATAAAAGTTAGTTTAAGTTATTTTAGTATTCAATCTATCTTGCGTCTTGACTTGTAAGTGATGTGCAGTAATATTTTTTTTCACAGTCTGAACTTCAGAATCGTCAAAGTTCCGCAGAAACAGCGGATGATACATTTAGGGTTGTGTTTGGAAAGGAGCACCCTGGTCAGGTTAGATGCTATGGTAGATCGGTGACGACAAGCTTTCTGAAAAAAGATAAAGAAATCACCAAGCTTAAACAAAAGCATGCCAATGAAATGACTTCTCTGAAAGAAGAAATGAAGGAAATGTTGAGAGAAGAAATGCGATCTTTTCTTAGTCAAGTGGTGCAAAACAACCATGAACTGAATTTTCATGATATATAATGGTGTGCTGGATCTAATATTCCTTCACCGGTTGATGCAAGTAGTGCACGAGCTATAAGAGGCCAAAATCTACCACATTCTTCTGGCTCAACTCATGCTCCGAATCTTGAAAAGGTATTTATATTTCACACTTCCAAAAAACTACCTCAATCTTAACTTACAAAATCATGTTTTCCCAAATTATTTGCTTTTGATGGTTCTATTATATGATAACGCTAGTACAAAAAGAATTCTAGCGGCAATAAATATTCGATTTAGTGGAAATAATAATGGCTGCAAAATAAGTTCATTTTCCTCTTGTTAAAAGAAAAAGACACGTGATTCTTTGTTAACAAAGCATCAGTTGGTGCCAAATTTTACCACACGAAACTGTAAGGACGTGATTTTTGCCCTATATGAGAATTACTCCCAAAAAAATTCAAAAATAAAATGATTTTCCTTGGTGTGCAATTTTGTGATATTTTTGAATAATTATTTGTATTTGTCTGTGCATGTTTATTTGTTAAATTAATAAAAATACAAAAATATGTCGCATTTTGCATGTAGGATTTAATTCTACAATTGTTAGTAATTAAGTTTGTTTTACAAAAATTAAAAAATTACAAAAATAGGCATCTTTTGCATTTTTAGCATTTAATGTCCAAATATACAATTTTATGCTTAATTATTACTTAATTGTGCGTTAATTGTTATTGGGAGTTAATTTGCGCTTTTATAACTTAATTTAGTTCTTAATAATAATTTAAGTATTTTTAGAATTTAGTTTTAGAAAAATAAAAGAAGAAAAGAGAGCAAAAAATAAAGAAAAATCGGATTGGGCCACTTCTTCAATTGTAAGCCAAAGGCCCAAAAAATTGCCCAACCTTCCCCATGACCCGGTCCATTTTAAACCGGGTTGACCCGGTCCATAACCCAAAGACCCAATACCCCTATTATCTTACATTTTTACAAAAACAAACAAAAAGAAAACCCTAAAAAAGGGCTAAGCCATCCGCCCCCCCTCCCTATCTTCTTCTTCTCCAAGCTTCACCCAAGCTCCAACCATGGCTGCCCTTTACCCTCCATTCTCACGTCCAAACGACCCCTCACGGCTTCATCTTCACCCTCACCATGGGCGGCCCAGTTGCGTCTTCATCTTCTCCATGTCGAGCTCAAAAAGCTCATCCATGGCTGCTCCTCCTCCTTCGTTCTTCGCCCAAACAACCAAACGACCCTCGACGAGATGCCTTCTTCTTCGTCATCTTCTCCACCACGTCCAGTCATGGACGACCTCAAAACAACCCCAAGCAACCATGAACGAGCAGCAGTGTCTCACGCAGCTGCTGCTGCTTCTGCTTCACGCTGCTTCTGCCTTCTTCGTCGAGCTTTAACCAACGTTGATGTTTCTTCTTCCTCACTTCAAGACTGCTACTGCTTCTGTTTCACGATGCTTCAGCTTTTTCATCGTTGTTTCTGCTGCATCGTCCGCTGCTGCCCGTCGAAGCAGTGGGTTCGAAGCCACCCCTCGCCGCTGCTTCATCGTCTTTCTTCGGCACCAACGAAAACTTCTTCTGCGTCAAGCTGCGTCTGCTTCAGATGCTTCACTACTGCGTACTGTTGTTGACGACTCCATGAGCCTGCTGTTGTTGCTCACCATCGCACACACACGGAGGAAACGCAAGGCAGTCCGGTTAAAGTCCGGCAAAGTTTGTCAAGGTTGAAAGAGGAGGAGGGTTTTTCGTCGAGTCGAGATCCTGTACGTCGAGTTTTCTATCCGAGTTTTCCATTTTCGTTCGTCGTGGGTCATTTCCGGTTAGTTGGGTTTTGAGTTCCATTTTTGTCTGTATTTCGTTTTGATATTTCTCGAATCTAAAATCGGTAAATGTTTGTTTTGTTCATTATTTTGTGAATTTTTCAGTTTGTTTCATGTTTGTTTTATTGTTCTTGTTTATTGTTTAGGAAAAAAGTTGTTAGTTTAATGTTGGTTGGATTCAAATTGAAGTTTAATTAATTATTTTTAGTTGTTTCATGTGTTTTATGTATTTTTCAGAAATTGTTAATGTTGTTAGATTCAAGTTTAAATTCATAATTGTTTCTTCTTCGGTTTTGTTTTTGTTATTTGTCTAAAAAATTTTTTTTAGTTGTAATAGGGAAATATGTTGGTTTAATCATTTGAATCCTTCATGTTTTGTTGTTGAAGTTGATTTAATTCATGTTCATCTTGGTTTGAAGTTCATTTTAATC